GAAATTGTAATGAGAAGGCACAGAATGGAAATATATATTCTAACAGTCTACATTAATACTAATTTCTTTTTCTGATTCTAATAGTTTAAAGAGTTTAATTTTCTCCTCTGTGATGTACCCATTTGAAATATATGAATATTTTCACTTGATGAGACAGTAATATTTTTAATAGATCTTTTATTAACAAAACCGTTTCTGTGTAAATATATAAGCATGAGGATTTATTTCATCTATAGGATAGAATAAATTTTAATTTTTTTTCTGAATATACAGGAACGCCTAGAGAAATAGAGTAAAAGTTGAAAGAAAGCATCTATTACAGTAAGACATATTGGCATTAATCAGCCTCAATACGTTCCCTTTTGCTCAAACACATAGATGATCTTGCTCCTCTGACACTCATTTGTGACACCCTCCCTCATGAGCGAGTTAAGGGGATGGGATCCAAAAGTGATGAATGCTGCTGCCAACTTCCATGCAATCAAAGACAGTCTTATAAAATCAATATGACAGGCATCATCCAACTTCCTCCCCAAATCTGTAACTGTGTGACTTCCGACTCTTCTCCAAAGTCTGACCTTTTAAGTATGACCTTCAAAGGAAAATCTTCTCAAGTGACTCAGGACATGAAGGCATCCCCAAGAGTAACTTGGGGATATTCTTGAAATACAACTTCGAGAAATCCTTGAGCAAGTGGCAAGAACAATGGAATACATTCATTCCCCACAAAGGATAGGTTTTTTTTTTTTTCCTTTTTCTTTTTATTGAGTTTATAGCTACATTCTAGGTATACAGTACAGTTACATTCATTACTGGGATCTTGTATCTTTACATGACAGGTCTTGGTTCCCATTTTTTCCCCTTGTCTCTGCCCTCCATTCACCCCGTCCTCCCCTTCCCATTAGGATAGTGTTTTGAAAATGATTAATGGTACTGTGTCCTGTACCTGTGAAAATTTGCACTTATTTAAATATACTCTTTGTTTCCTGGTCTCATCTTCTCCTGTTTATTTAGTCCGTCAATTCTAGTGCAGTTTTTGTATTCTTGAAAGTGAAGTGGAGCTTTGTCAATGAGTTCACAAAGCAAGATTGCTTTGTCAAACCTTCCAAATACTACACATAACCTGTAATCACATAAGCTCAGTGTTTCTTTGCATTCTGATTTCTATTCGGTTGAAGTCATGGTGCATTAGCATCTACAGGCGCTGGTAATGTGCAAGCAACAAAAAATTGAGGTAGCGACTTTTTTAGTGATTTGTCCACCTATTTATATTGTTCAAAATTAATGGCACATATCATTGAAAAATGGTGCTTTCTCAGAATAGATACATCTATGTGTGGAAATATGTTCATTTCATAATAAAATTAATTAATTCATACATTTTATGTTGTTTTGAGTATTTATTTATTAGCAGTTAACTGGAATTTCTTAAATTCTTTTTCACCCCCAATACATATTTGCATATCATTTATCAGGGTGTGGGGATAATTTTGCTCCGTTTTAGTGAATGAGAATCCTCAACTAAATTAGCCTTTAAGACACATAAGATATAGACCTATTCTTGCTCATATAAATATTTTTTGTCAAAAAGCATGGATTTGAGAGGATTTAATTTTATATGCTTTACATCATTAACAATAGTAAATGATAGTTTTTAAATACACTGGAATTCATTTGATTATTTTTATAACATGCATTAATAGGGTTCGTGATAAAATAATTAGTATCTGTTATATCTTTCAAAATCAAATCAGACTCAGTATCCTGCATTTTACTTGGAATCCCTGCACTTATTGAGTTCTATTTGATGAGATCAGTGAAGCACTTTATACATTTCCTAAGTCCCTCACTTACACTATGTAAATGCCACGTTAAACTCTCACGAACCTGATTGATTTAAGATATTTGTTCAGTACGTTTAGTTTTATGCCTATAAGCAAAATAATACTCCAAGAGTTGTCATTTCATACAGAGATACTGAATTTTGCCGTGAATTTAAATAAATCAGCCGTCATTGACTATGATTGTCTGTAGCCAAAATCTAAAAGTAAGGGAGACTTACCGAATCCTGGTGAGCATCAAAAGTCAAGGCAATTCTTACTCATCTTAAAATGATGATCAGATTTCCTATTCTGAAATCACTCTGACTTTGTGTTTCTGACTTTCTGTTTGGAGATGAATTTAAGGTTCTATCTCCTTTGCGTAATATTCCCTACAGAGTAGTATTTAATTTGTTCAGTTCATTCTACACAATTCAACTGAGGGACTTAAAATTTGCTGTGATGACATCATTGTATGTCACCCTGTGAAAATATGTCAGGAAGAGTCAAGGAAAGGAACAAGCAAGAGAAATGACCAGAACACATCTAAAGACTTCAGAAATGTTGAAAGACTCTCTCATCCACTTACATGGAATCAAATAGTAGAACAAAAATAGGGAAACTTTCACACCACTTTTCCCCTAGAACTGGGGCTGTTGCAACATCACGGTGAAATTTTAAATAACGGCATTATGAAACCCTAGGGTTTCTCCTCTTCTTTTAAGGGAATTGGTCAGATCCACAATTGCCTAGGCAAGAGTATGAGGAAGGATAAAAGAGACAGAAACAATCATTTAGAATGCAAGGTGTCCCTGAGTAAGACATGGCACTAGTGGACATTCTCAACAATCTCCAGCTTGACCCACTTTTATTAGAAAGCCAAAAGCACTGGGGGTATGAGGTCGGGCATCATTCATGGAACAGTGACAGCCAGTAGATGTCAGTTGGTAACTCACAGGTAATGAGAAATGGGGAGCAAGATGGGTGGGGAACGGATCCTCCCCGCTCCCCAGAGGTCTTGTCCTCAGCAGAAGTTATCTTGTCCTAGAAGTGCTGTGCTTATGAAATTTCCCACAGATAGCCAAAAACCCAGTGGTGTTTTTTTAAATCCACTTTTCTGTTCCTGAAGCAAGTTATATTGGTCTTGGGCTCTATGGAAATGAAATCAGGTAGCCCAGTTCCCAATGCTTTTTATACTTCACAATATGATATCCAGTAAGCCCTGAAATAAAATACGTAATTTAACTCATCCCAGTGAGCTAGTTCAAAACTAATCAAAATTATGATAAATTGTGTACTTTTCTTGAGGCAACGTGAACAGTAACTGAAAGTTGAAATGAAGACTTAATAACCAAATGAATGAGAAACATATTATGTTCCTTTTTTTTTTTTTTTTTGTACTGTGGTTCGAACTCTGGACTTTATATTTGAGAAGCAGGTGGCAGAACCACTGAGCTAAATCCCTGGAATAAGTTGTGTTCTTTAGACAAAAAGGTCACAGTTTTGATGAGGCAATGCCTCACTACAATGTCTATTTAGTGATTTTATTTCATGGGCCAAGATTTCACCACTGTTAAATCATATTTAGTGCAATCACATTCATAGTACAATATACTAAATACCATGTCCCCCATTTCTCATATTAGAAACATGGTCTCTTCCTTTTATAAGTAGGACAATCAGGGGCATTTCCACATGAAAATTGGAATGTTAGTGAACACAATAATAAGGTTTGTTTTAAAAAAAGATTTCATATTTACTCTATTCCTCTATTTAGATATGGATTAGTTTCTTTTTTGTACTGTAATTAAAGTTACTCATCCCATAGCTCTGATGTTATTATTTTTCTTCTGCAGTACCTTCCCGTAAAGCTCAGGCAGACTGTGCCCTGACTGTGTAGCTCTGGTTGGCCAGGAGCTCTCACAGTTCTCCTTTTTCAGCCTCCTGAGTGCTAGAGGTGCAGATGTCCCCACCGCACTCAGAATATCTGGTATGAAATTTTGAGCAATTATTTTCAGAAAGAGTTTCTGAAATTTTTTGCCTTCTGTAGTTTATTCCCCCAATTGGACCTACAATTTGTCTTGTTTTTGTTCTACTGGTTACTGAGATTATAGTAATTTTGGTGAATGTTTTGTTTCTGAAGGGATTCTCTTAGGGGAGACTCTAGTGTGATTTGTGAATGTGTCATCTTCACATTTTCTATGTACAATCCAATGTTTTAGGGATTCAATACATACTTCTAATTAATGTTGCATTATCATTTTTCAATTATCATTTTTAGATTTTTTCATCTTAGATTTGTTTCCTGTAACAATCATATTTCTGTTAAATCCTTTGACTGTTGTTAAACATACCCATAAGAGTTATCTTAAAATGCTTACCTACTTTTTCTGTTTCATTTCAGAGCTTTCCTCAATAGGATTCAAATTGTGGGACATTTATACCTCTTATTTTTTATTATATAATGAATGTTGCATATTTTATGTAAATGGACTCTGCTTTGTTTGGATTTATTTTCTTACAAAGGACTAAAATTTACAGAGGGCAAATTTTGTGCAATTGGAGACTTATTTGCTAGGCTCAAATTTGCCCTCAGTAGTTCTACCTTTAAGATCCTACATACTCCAGATAGTGAACTAAAGTGCTCTGCATGCAGGCTTTTAAGAACTTTAAGATATTTAGCTGTACAAAATTCATACATGGTCCATATATATGCTGTATATGTTAAAGAAACTCTCCTTTGGAACGGTAGCTTGAGATTTGTTACAGACAGAAAGACAAGATAAAGAAATGTGTCAAAAACTAAACCACAACTATCAATGCAAATTGAACACAGATTATTGATGAAGAATGCAATAGCCATTTTCATTTGAAAAATACAAATTTATATATTTAGAAGTATTGAGTAACATCCAGGGAATGGGGATGTAGGAGAAGAAATGACATTTAACGGATAGTTTAAATGCAAACATAAATTAAGATATAACTGCTAATATATATATATATATATATATATGTATGTATCAAATATGGATAATGCATTTTTCTATGTAGCTGAAATACATTCCTCTCATATAGCAATGCCGTCAAATGACAATACCATTTTAGTTTTATTTCATCAAGTGATATTTCCTTTCTCAGAATTCCTAGTTTTCTAGTCTAACATTCTATCAGAAACACTAAATTCAAACTTTAGATTTCCAGAATACCCTGTAGAAGGCACTTTTTACTTCTTTATTCCTAATGCTATAGCATAGGTACCACCAGTGTATACAACACAGAGGACAGCAAATCAATTACAGAGGGCTGAGAAGATTTTGGCTGCATGTACATGAAGAAAACAGTCCCACAGAAGATGACCACCACGGTCAGGTGAGAAGCACATGTAGAGAATGTCTTTGTCCTTCCTTCTGCAGAACGCATTCGACATATGGCTAAGACAATCATAAGGTAGGGTAATAGTACTGCGAGAAGTGTGGATGTCACATTGAATATTGCAAAATGGTTGATCAATGAAGCTATATCGGGTCCATTTGAACACAGCATAAAAGAAACAGAAATATTATCACAGTAGAAATGGCTGAGGATATTACTACAGAAAGTCGATGTAAAAATCTGACTCATGAAGAGCAGAGCCTGCATGGTACAGCAGAGGTAGGGAATGCCCACCAGCACATGGCAAAGACTCGGAGACATGATAGTGCTGTAGAGCAGAGGGTTGCAGATGGCCACGTAGCGGTCATAGGCCATGGTGGGCAAGATAAAAAGTTCACTGACAATGAACACCACGAATAAGGCCATCTGTAAAGCACATGCATGACTGGAAATGGTATTTTCACCTGTAACAAAATGTAGCAGCATTTTGGGATAAATGGCCGTGGCATCACCCAGATCCATGTAAGCCAGGTGCCTGATAAAAAAATACATTGGTGTGTGTAAGTGGGAATCCAGCTTGGTCAGAATGATCATGCCCAGGTTGCCCACTGCTGTGAGACCATAGATGACGAGGAAGATAAAGAAGAGTGGGAGCTGCAGCTCAGGCAGGCTGGAGACCGCTCTCAGAATGATGGTGGCTGGCACTGTCAGATTCTGTCTGCCCATGATGTCCAGATATCTCTTCTGGGACAGAAAAAGATGAAGGTGTGACTTCTATTCACAATGGTCTAACAAATTGCAATACTCATGCAAAGAAGGAAGTATTTGTTGTCCTTGGCCATAGAATAGTAATACCATTTTCTGATTCCATTAGTGTAAAAAGGTGTATAATTTTCGCTCTCTCAATGAAGTATTCATGTGAAATACATGTATAGAGTCAACTGTTAAGAAGACAGCGATATTGGAATATGTCTCTCATATACAAAACCATATCAGTGAATATATAGAAACCTTTGCTCTATTTATATACATGATGTAAACAGTGTTTTTTTTTTTCTGAGTACACATGGGTAAATGGAAAGATGGGGTAAAGGTTGAAACAAAACACATCCGTTCCAGTGAGACTCACTGCTATTAGTCAGCCTCACTACATTCCCTTTGGTTCAAACACATAAATATCACTGTGCTTGCTACTCTGACATGCAGTCCTGACAGAGGTATGGACTAATAAAGTCACTGAATGAATTCTGCTGTGAGCTTCTATGCAAAAGAAAGACAGTCCCATAAAATCCGTGTGCTATGTTTCATCCACCTCCCTCAGCAGATCTGTCACAGTGGGACTTCCCTCTCTCCTCCAAGGTCAGAATGACCTCCAAACTGATTCAAGACACCGAGGCAGCCATGAAGAGTGCAAGTGATGATATTCAAGAAATAGAGCTTCTAGAATAGCTTCAGCAAGTGGCAGTAACAATGCAATAAGTTATTTCACCACATCGCATGATGATTTAAAGGTAATTAATAGCAAATCTGTTCTTGCTAAAATTTGTGATTATTTATTTTTGCACTGTTTCTTGATCATACATGGCATTGATGACTTAATCCAGCAAATCTTAGTGAGATCTAGGAAAGCTTTGTCATTAAAAATGCACAAAGCAAGTTTTTGTTGTCAAACCTCCAAAAATGCGATGTAACCTTTAATCAATTAAGCTCATTTTTCTTTACATTCTACATTCCACTCCCTTGTGATTTACTTGAATTTATGGTGCTTTAACTTGTACAGACATTTGCAGTGTCCAAGTAACAGAATTGAGGTAAAATTGAAGGCATTTAATAATGATAAATACTTCATTCTTATACAAGAACATATGGCTCTGTAGAATTTTAATACCTTTTTCAATATTAATACGCTTTGTTGTTTAGAGTAATTATTTACATTTGAAGTTCTAAATTATTTTTCATTCTCTATAAATACTAACACTCTGTTATCAGCCTTTATAGATATTTGACTTGATATTAGTGAAAAATAATCCACAATTATATTGAAATTTAAAACATAAGATTGAAATATATTCATGTTCAGATAAGTGCTATTTGTCATCACATATGAAGTTTGAGCATTTAATTTTATATGCTTTATATCATAAATAGACACTAGTAAGATGACAGTTTTTGATACATTAAAACAATCTTTCCATCATTTATGTAACCTATTAATAGTGTTCAAAATATGTCTACCATTTTATAATGGAATAAAGTATGGCACTGAGATATTCTAATACTCCAGTAAAAGCAACTGGCCTTCAATCCCCAAAATTAATGTGACGAGACTGTAAACTAAGCAGAATGTATGAAAAGTGGGGACGCTGTCAGCCTCACCTCTTAAAGTCTCTTCCTGTTACTTTCAGTCTCAGTTCAGTAAAGGCCTGGTACTGCGAAGTTGATTTTCTGTAGAAAAGAAATGGGATGTCCCAGTTCTGTTCTAGGAATACAGAACAGGAATGTTTCCTGGGACTTCAGGGTCCCCCGCATAGACAGTAGGACTCAGGGTCCAGCGCAGACACAGAGCTATCCTGGAGGTTGCTGGCAGCTGATATCCCTTCTCCCCAGTGCAGTGGTCTGCGAGTGCTTCATCTGAGTCCCACACCTCTGCCAGATCTCTTCCTCCCACTCATGAGCCAGAATCTGTGTCCTTCTGAAAGTTTAATTTTGAATTTTCTGGTTACATGTTCTGCTATCTTAAGCTGTTACTGTAGAATGGAAGAGGATTTGACTGAGAAAAAAGGATCCAGAAATGCATCACCTACCTTATGACTGTAAAGGTCTCAAATATGTCCAAGGATTCTAGAGCTGTGTGTGTGTGTGTGTGTGTGTGTGTGTGTGTGTGTGTGTTCATGCGAGGCAGGAGGCGGCACCACAGAGCTAAATCAACAGGCCTTAGAGCTTTTTTCTATATTTATTGATTTGTGTACTTTACTGATTTGTGTGTGTGTGTGTGTGTGTGTGTGTGTGTGTGTGTGTGTGTGAAGCCCCCTCCTCCCCCAATGTAATAAAATCTTTGTTTCCATTTTTCCTTCTATTTTCATTTTTTCCTAGTTCCTTCTTTTCTTAGAACTTTTAATTGTGTTACATCTATCTCCATTTCTAGTAACCATTTTACATTGCCATGAAGATATAAACATGCCTTCCCCCTACCCTCTTTTCCTGTTTGAAAAAAAAATACCTCTGAGCTCCTCAGAATATCTCACTGTATACATTTTCAGTATTCCCACCTGGAGCTATTTCCTAGCACAGGTAGAGTACAAAAAGTATGTGGAGGAACTAGGTATGCATGCTCATTTTATTTAACAATTATTGGGAGGTCAGGGGTTTCTTCATAACTTCAAAAGCCTTACAAAGTCATCTGATTAGTTCTATATAGTCAAGATTTGTATTATCCACACAGAGAATATACTGTGTGAAAAGAAAATGGAGCCAGATAATAAGAACCATTGTGGAAAATACAGTCAAAGACTGAAAAGCCCGACTGTTGATGCATGTAACAA